CACAGTGTAATTCTATTCCTTGTCATATCTGTTCTTCAGTATCTACAAAGGTAGATACTGCTTTCCTTTTTTCAGGAGTCTTTTTATGAATTTGAAGATTAGTACTTCCTTCTTCCCACTTCAGTTTTGCCTCTTGCATTTGTAATTTGAACTGGTCTTTTGCACAGAGTTCTGGATAACATGATATCTATAAAATTAGTTATTGTGAATATTCATTGAAGCAGTCAATTGCTAACTTCTAACTTGTTTTCCCTGAGGATGACTAACTCATTTGCATCCTCGGGGCAGATGCAATTTGAAGTGCAATATATTTGTCTTCTTCCTTACCTTTACTCAAGAACCAGTGCTGTAGCCATCATCATGGTAAAGAGACTGACTGACACAGGCCCTCTTGTTCCATACTTCTGACTGTGCACTACCTGTTTTAGCAAAGTAGCGCTGCATGTAGCCTCCAGCTTGAAAATTGAGACAGCTGAAACCTAAATATTTTATTAATCCATTAGTATGCAACACAGAACATTGTTAAAATTGCTACTGACTTGAAGTGTGCATATATCAATAAATAACTCTCTAGTTTGCTGGTACCATTAGACTGAAGTACCAATACAGTTGGTATTTTTATCTCACCTTAATTTTCAGTTAAAGTTCTTAAAGGCTTATCCTTTAACTGATACCCTAGCAAAACAAACCTAGATACAAAGCTGAAACGAGTAGAGTGCAAACACACACTACCACCATCTAGATTTTCATTGTTGTTCATTTTCTGTGTTGTTTTCCTTTTATTCGTTCTTTATCTTAAAGAACAATTATTAGTATATTGAGCTAATAATTATATGTAAGTAGATTAGTCTAACAGATTTTGGTTTTGTCTTTTGAGTGAAATAGGACTATGGAAAACCATTCAGGAAAGATGATGATACCTTTTAAAATAAAACTGTGCTTAAGAATTTTCTTCTAGATACTAATCGTATGTAAACTCTTTATTTTTTAGTGTGTGATTTCCTTGGGGAAAAGATTGCGTCTGTTCTGGGGATAAGCACACCAAAATACCAATATGCCATTGATGAGTATTACAGAATGAAGAGAGAGGTATGTGTGTGAGATAGGGTTCTTGCACTCCTTTTCTCCCAACTTGCCTTCCCTGGTATTTTAAAAAATTTGTGTTCCAGCATTAAAATGAAGTTTTAGAACCTCTATTTCAGCTTGCCTTGAGTTTTCATTTGACGCATGATTAATCCTTGCTTATCCATCAGCCTCTTCTCACGGCTCATCAGTCTTAGAACTGGCTGGGTCCTGACCACTGCACTATTTGTTTCGCTTGTGCAATGCATTTTCAAGGCAACAGTGTGCGAAGGTTGGATGGAGCAGTTACTGGACGCTGTAAAGAGGCGGCTGCTAGGAATATACTTTCCAACTCTAGAACTTGTCCAACGAAGTGTCAGGGGTAAATTGAACATGATGTTACCATTTGTTCTAAACCATACCTGGAAATGACTGATAGGTAGCCAGTGCTTTATACAAAAAAAACCCTGTAATAATCTTCATTTGGAAGAGATGGGAAACATTTAAAACTTTACTACTTGTTTTTTGATAGCTCTCTATTATTAAGAGCTGAAAAAGCTTTAGAGAAGGTAGACCTATCACTATTGCTGTTGACTAAAAACTGCTTATCTAGACATGTGCCACTTTTTCTGTGTTTATTTAACACAGTTTAATCCTTCACTTTTGGTGATTTTTTTTTTTTTTTCTGTAATGGGAATTCTGGAATATACCTCATCTTATGATCAACTAGTGACCGTTTTCTAGTGGAACAAAGGTCCTTGCCTTGTAAGAGGAACTGGTATGCTCTTATGGAAAGACTTAAAGTGAATGTAAGTGGTAAATAGTAGCTTATGAATCTGGTTATCTATTTTTAGGAGGAAGAGGAGGAACAGGAAAACAAGATGTCAGAAGAAGCAGAAAGACAGCATCAGGAACAGCAGAACAAGCTGCAAGCTGAAGCTCCTGTCCAGACAGACCAGCCTGAAGCAACAGCATGTACTTCATTCGTGAACGTAAACTTTGAAAATGAGGGAGGTTGCCAGTCCGTCGGGGAAAATGTTAAACAAGACATAGTTCCTGTCCCTCCTTAAGTGTAAAGCTCTGTATAATGTAGGAAATAGAAGTGTCAGGTGTCACAATCTGGCTATAAGAAGCAGGAAAAATGGGATTATACTTGTTCAGTGAAATACAACTTCTAGCATTCTTATTGATCAGGAGAGAGCTAGGTGGTGTCTGTTCAGTCTGTCTGCCTAATAAAGGCTGAGGCATTCTGCCAAATTGGCACTTCAGTTAAAATGAAAATTGCACTACAAACATTTGGTCTAAAATTGAATGTGTGAGCTAATTTCTGTGTAAAGCAAGTAAAAATGTCTTTTCTTTGAATTGCTGTGTCTCTAACACCTGTGGAGTGTTAGATGCAATGCTGTTTCCTACTTCTAAACACCTATTTCTGATTTGCACATTGTTTGCAACTCAGCTCTCTATGAATAGATTAATAGGAATGAATATCCTGTAACTCACAAGTCATTATAATAGCGTCTGATTTCCCCTATTTATTATCACTATTGTATGCATGTATTTCTTTTCTGTTGTTGTTTAACATAAGAGATAATATTAGATTCAGTGTTAATTAGATTTAAGGGTCCACTGACTTTTTTTTTTATTAAAAAAAACTTTGAAGGAGGCTGTGAACACGCTGAAGAACTTATTAACAAGTAGCAGCACTCTTGGAGGCTACTAGTGCTCAGCTGCTCCATTCAGTGCTGTAGCAAAGTACAGAACTAGCATCAGTGTAAGATGTTCTCACGCTAAGTCCAAGAATTAAGAGACCCACCTGCTTGAATACTTTACATGCTCTGAATGGTCCTGGGAAATAAACTAAAGCCTTGCTAAATTATACTGAAGGCACTGGACACTGTGTATGGTACCAATCTAGAACTGTGAAAACTTTTTTGGACATAGATTATCTGAGTCAGTGTACTTGATTAACCTAAACGGACTATTTGTTTAATGTTAAATTACCAGTAAGGAAGGGATGTGCCACTGCAGATGTTTTCCCCCCCTCTAGCACAGAATACGTAAGTAACTGGAAATAACAAAACCAAACTTAGGATTCTTCCTTTTTCTTGAATAAACAAAACACTTTGTTGCAGTACTGCAACAACAATAATTTTTATTTTTGTCTAAGTGAAACGCAGGTAGCTCCAGAGCTTTTAAGTAGCCCCAAACACCAGTTAAGGCTCTTTTACAGCAATGACAGCTATTCTACTTGTAGCTTGTAAAAGGTGAATGATTAACTTTGTGACAATCAGATGTCAGTGCCCCAGTCATTTTCTATAGAGCATCATTGTAGATAAAGGGGGAGAGAACCTGCACTAGTTATCATGTGAAACATTACTTCTGTCCTTGAGACTTCTAAAAAAAAATTTTAAGAATAGTCCTCAGTGAAATTTTGTGTTGGGTATCATCCTCTGTCCCTGGCCTTGGTCCCACTCCCAACTAACTAAGGAGCCTGACGTAATAGCAGAGGCCGGGTAAGTTGGCTATTAGTTTCCAGAGTTCAGTTATGTATTTCAGACAACCCTCTGCCTGAACTAGTGTCCTGTAGAGCACAAATGCCTTCTCCTCTCATCTGCCCTAAGCATTCCAGCACTACAGAAAGTCTTCTGAGGAGGGTTCAATCATCAGCTCTATTCCATCTGTTTTGGTACTCTGTTCTTTGCCTCTTTTTGAATTGTAAGACAGAGGGTGCTGACAGCTGTGTAAAATCATTACTTAGCCCTGAACACCTGCAAGGGAGAGCTTGGTTCAACACCTGGGGAATACACAGAAAAACAGCTTGTTGGGAGCTCTTATACTGTCAAATAGAAAGCCTCACATAGCTCAAGTAAAACCTTTACAGCTGAAGGATGCTTTGTTTTCTGCCAAGAAATTAATGTCAGTTGCGTTGGGTTTTTCCTTCCTCTCCCTATCTGTTGCATCAAAAATGCTCTCGCTGCCTTGGGTTTAAACTTCTTTGTATAAAATACTGTATTACTCACTGTGCCTTAACTTAATCCTTCCTTCAGTTTTTTTGCAAACTGTATGAAAGTGGTTACTTTCATAATGGTTTAATTTTTCTGTAAATGCATTAATTGGTTATTTTATATTTAATATAATTCTTGAACTGGAAGTTGGCTATGGCTTTTCCTTTAAAACTGTGTGGTCTTTGAAACTCTACGCCTGCACACAGGAACACATGCCTGTTCAGTTTTCATCTTTACTGAGTCACACATCCTGGTGGAATATGGAAGCATGAAAATTCAAAATATCATACTACCCCTGCCCCTTCCTTACAATCATCTCATGTAGTACTTGTTAATGTACTCAATGTGTTCAGCACTACCTCAAACTAATAAATAATGCAGGATCGCAACCACCTCTGGCCTGAAACTATTGTAATTTTATCTGAAAGTTGAAACTTTTCTACAGCTTTGTTAAAGAGTTTCACTGCTTTAACTACTACTGTAGCTCAGCTGTACAATTAAGTTAAATTACATAAAATACTTGCACAGGAGGTTAAGTTGGTGAAAGCCTTTATACAGGTGTTTGAAGTAGTTTTAACTAGACCTAAAGCTAGTGCAGTTTTATTTCTGTTAAGGAACTTCTTAAGAATTAGGTAACTATTCCATCAGTCCAATAGTTGTTTACTTATCCTTTCTGTTAAACACTTAAAGCTGGACACATATAGAAGAAAAAGGCCTAAACTCTTTACCTCTTACTGAAGACTTTTGCCTTTACAGCAGAATGCTCGACAGTGCTGTCATTAGAGGAAGCCATACAGAATGCAGTGGGAGGCTTGGGATGCCTGAGTGGATACAGGCCAGTGCTGAAGATACCAAGAACCACATCCTTACTTCAAGGTCAATTCACATTTAGACAAGGGTATTCAAATAAGAATAGGGCTCGGTACACAGGGAAAAAGTTCAAAAATATTTATTAAAAAAAAAAAATTACCTCTTAAACAACACTTGCTTTTTTGGTTTCAGAAATTAGTTCTGTGATTCCTGTATGTACCACATTTTATATTGTATGGGGGAGCACAGGGGGAAGGGGAGGGAAGTAAAATGGAAGAGGCATTGATTCAGATAATGATTGTTTCCAGCTTCCAGCAGTCGGTGCATCAGATCGAGATATCTCTAGGGATACAGTCTGCTCCTGTTCAAAAGTCACGTATCATCAACATCAGCAGTGTTGTCATTATCACTTGCCACAAGGACCTCTCTGTTCTCGTATGTCCAGAACCCATTCAGATCAATTAGAATGCTGGTAACAGTGTCTCCTTGACTGCTATTGATTAAGTCTTGAAGGGAGATTTTGTAAGGATCCTTAGGCTTCACCATATCAAAGATTTCATCCTATGAAAGAAAAGTCAAAATTGGGGAAAAAAACCCCACACATTAATGAGCAGAATAATGGCAACTTTATACCATATACAGAATGATGTTTGGGTAACTAGTGCCACCCACACCGATTTACAAAAAAAAAAAAAGCTGTTAAGTCCCAAAGCATTCAAGATACAAAGCACAATAATTGGCTACAGACAGGATCAGTGTGCTCAGCTCCCACATCTCAAGTAAGAATTTGATTTTCTGGGGAGGCTTTGGCCTCAGTGGCAACATGAAACTCAGTTGGCTTGTATAAGCTAAGTTTTATAGAAGCTCTTGCACTTTTTGTTTTTAAAGCACTAAAACTCCTAACTGTAAAGTAGGCAGTAATAAAGAGAGTTTTATAGACAGGTTTTTTTAGTCACCGGTCTGCTCCCCCCCCACCAAGGGATGATCCTGAACCATAAAACAGACATACCAAGTATCTTCACATGTAAGGCACAGCAACATGTATTTAACAGGTACTTTGTCTATTAGTAAGGAAACTACTAGAACAGTTGCGTACCAGGTTTCTTACAGAGCAATTGCTGAACAGAAAGACATTTTCAAACCTATGAGCAGGAAAAGTCAGATCATCTCTGCTACTCTGCAAGTAAATATACAACAACCTAGGAACTACGATATAACGTAAGTAAATTATGAAATGCTTATTCAAACATTTCATATAGTACTCTGTTCAGTAAAACTAACCTTGACATCCTGAAAAGAAACTGGTTCCTGTCCATGGATTTTCATTTGTTCCTGAATAGCCTAGAGAAAAAAAAAGTTAAGAATACGTAGTGTAGTATTACACTGTGGATTTTCATTTGTTCCTGAATAGCCTAGGGAAAAAAAAAGTTAAGAATATGTAGTGTAGTATTACACTACCACAGTGCGTGAAACTTTTTTAATGCTTCTGCATCTTAAGCTGTATTGCCATGTAACAAAGCATTCACGGTACAGCTTGCAATCAATTCTCTTCCACAAGTGAGGCAGGCGTGAGTTAAAGCATAATCAATGATACGCATCTCTAGGTTCACTGTTCTTAGTCAATACGGTAAGAATCCAACTTTCATTATGACCAGTGTTTGAGCACTCTGCAAATGGGATACGCAGACACCTGAATATTATCACTCAACTTAAGATAGTAATACACTCAAACTGGAAGGTTCAGTTTCTGACAAAGTGTGAAATACAGACTAG